ATCTTTCAGTGTTTTACCCCATTTTGGTGTGTTTTGTGAAATGTTGGCATCTAAAGAAAGTTATTTCGCAAAAGGACATTCCACAGGGTAACTGCATACACGGTCTACTCTAATTTCATTCTTATTCTTAATTTAACATCCTCACTAAACATTTATCTGACTTAATATCTGTATAAACTAGTTTCAGTTACTAGCGATCCTACCGGGAAGGGTAGCTTTCAGGTTTCTAAAGTTTTAAGACAGAATTGTATATTATTTATTTATTTAATTATTATATAAATTTCTGTCTTAAAACTTTAGAAACCTGAAAGCTACCCTTCCCGGTAGGATCGCTAGTACCTGAAACTACTTAATACAAATATTAAATCAGATATGAAGTCGATAATTACTGAAGGTTTCCTGATGAACGATATTAGAATTGCTTCAGCTGATGTAGTTCCAAGTTTAATAGACTTATCCTCGTAGTTTACTGAAGCATTTATGTACACACTATTAAGCAACCAAGCAATGTCTTCTGACGCAAGTGTGAGATGAAGTGGAGGCTATAACCTTCCGTACTTGTTAGCTACATTAGTCTCGTAGCTGAAATGCAAAACTGAAGAAGCTAATGTGGGACACTAAACATGTCTGATTACATTTACAGTAAATGGGAAAAGAAAAAAAAAAAAAAAGAGTCATTTCCTTTAAAGTATTCCTTTAACTTTCAGAACATAACAAATGGTCATATTTGATGCAAGTTTTAATTCACTTCTTTCATCACCTCGAATAATAGACTACAAAAAAAACCCACGAATCTGTCATTTTAAAGGTACAACACACTGAGGGTTTATTTTAGGTTTACATGTTTTAGTTTTTTTTTTTTTTAGGACAACCGTACACTGGGACTTTGTGTTTATGTATCTTGTATTGATCGTCTGAAGACTACTACTACTACTACTAATGTTGGTAACGTATCTTTCTAAAATACCTGCAGGTTATTACTAACACTAAAAAAAAGAAAACTTAAATTCTGAAGTTTCACAGTTACAAGCTTTGTATCCTGACTAATCAAAATAAAGCTAAACATGAAAAATCCTGATAAATATGTGGATGATGCATTAAGTTAAAGGAAGCCATTGCTCACAGGGTTTTTTTTTTTTTTTTGGAGGATGTTTTATTTTTGGAAGGTTTTTTGACAGTAATGGCTGATCCCGCTTACCTTTATCCTCAGGTCGTAACTGTGTGGGTTTCTTGTCAGCACTCGGGACCTCTGGTTTTAGTGCTGAAAAACGAAACATGGTGCATTAGCTGGCCCTCTCCCTCTGTCCCGCTAAATACTACAGACAAGTGCACACATACAACAAACAAAAGAGCAAAACCACATGCAAGAAACATATAAGCTGCAAATGCAGACGCTGATTCAGTTTCCTGTGGGGGAAGAGAAGATGAGCCAGAAATCTATTCAAGCCTCTTGCTAGGTTTACAGTACAGCTGAAACTATGTCATGGAAAACTTCAAATACAGCAAATGCAAACGCCTGTATGCTACTAACAAAGTTTCATCTTCACTGGCTGGTGAAGCCTCAGATGCTATTTTCAGAACAAAGTGGAGAGGGGGAAAAAAAAAACAAAACAAATAAAAGACAAAAACAAAAAAAGCAGAACAGTAATAGTAGGAAATGAAGGACTGAAAGACAGCATTCAACAGGCATAATGGAAGAGAAATGCAACTAGCCCTGTGTTTCATTCAGCCTGGAGGAGGCTGATCTAAACGGCCCATTTGGAAGGCAGTGTAAGGACACTTCTAAAGCTCCTTATTTCAGTTAAATCTGAACAGAGATGTTTCCTTCCTTGCATGTATCTTTCCTGAAGAAAGCAATTCCATTATGATGTTCCATTTCCTTAAAAAAATGAACACCAAATAAACTACTACAAAACCTACTACCATTTAGCCAAAAATTGAACACTTTCTACCAATATTTACATTTACATTTATGGCATTTGCCAGACACTCTAATCCAGAGAGACTTACATTTATTTCATTTATACTGAGCGGCTGAGGGTTAAGGGCCTTGTGCAAGGGCCCAGCAGTGGCAGCGCGGCAGTGCCGGGATTTGAACTCACGACATTCAGATCAGTAGCCCAATGACTTACCCAACGAGCTGAAATTCTTGAAATATAATAATTTCAATAATTTAATGTAATAATTTCGATTAATTATGGGGCGCATAATTGCTAATAATGGTCAGTGGACACCTCAAAGCATTTTCAGGGGCCATACAATCTGATGCACATATTAGACTTTTATGACCCGGTCGAAAAAGGGTGCTTGGATTATCAATAGGTCTTGACAGGCATGACATAATGTAGACTGCTCATAGTCCATGCAGTTAATAAAATGCAGATTATGTTGGCTATACACTGCTTTAATCGACTAATTTGTGGCAGCAGTTGTCTTCTAGCGCGCTCTATTCTGATCAAAATGTGTCACTTTCAAGAAGAATTGTTGCTACATATTTTGGGTTTTGCTGCAACCTTTTCCAGCGTGTGGGTTAAAAAGAATGAACGATGTGAAAAGCAGGTAACACATTAAATAAGACTTCGGGGCTGTATTAGTTGTATGTCACTGGCCACTTCAATAAGAGCAGCTTTAGACCTGCTCATTCACGCAGTTACCCAAATCAGCCAATCATGTGGTAGCTATCAGAATGAGGATAGATGTGATTTCAATGACTTTGACCGTGGCGTGGTTGTTGGTGCCAGACAGGCTGGCTTGAGCAATTCAGAAACTGCTTCGCTATTCCACACAGTGAGCAGCAGTTCTGTGAGTCGGAAACAACTTGATGATGAGAAACTGCACGGCTGAAGATTGAATAACATCTACTGGTCTTTGTCCTATCCTCAGCTTTCCAGTTTGGGTGAGCGTGTGTGCCCACTTCAGCCTCAGTGGCCTGTTCTTGGCTGACAGGAAACCATTGTGGTCTTCTGCTGTTCAATTCAGTCCAGATCTATTTATATAGCACTTTTAACAATGTCACAAATCAGTTTTACAGAAATGCAGATAGAATTTAAATTTATCCCTGCTGTAGCCCATCCGCCTCGATGTTCAGCACGCTGTGCGTTCTGAGGTTCTTGTCTGTTCACCTTAGCTGAACGAGTGCTTATTTAAGTTAGTCTGGCCACTGTCCTCCGAGTTCTCTCATCAGCAAGGCGTTTCCACCCTCAGACCTGTCGCTCACCGGATGCTTTTTTTGTTTTTCTCACCATTCTGTGTAAACTCTATAGACTACTGTGTGTGTGGAAATCCCATAAGATCAGCAGTGTGTGAAATACTCAAAACCAGCCTGTCTGACAGCAACAACCCTGCCATGACCAGTCACTGAGATCACACTTTTCCTTCTTATTGGATAACGTCTTTGTGGCCTGATTGGATAACTGTATGAAGGAGCGGGGGTCCAGGTGTTCAGGTGTATATCTGCTGCTGTTACAGTTATCTCCCCAGTATTACAAGAATGATATGAGAATTAAAAACTTCATTATGCACATCAGTGTGACAGTCTCAGCTAGCGAGCAAAAACCTCTGTCCTTTAACAAGAGACCTTATGTGTTATGGCTAGCGCACCACTGTTAGCCATTAAACGTTATTTCTGGGCAACTGAAAACCTTTACGATACCTTAAATGCAAAAAAAAAAAAAAACAAAGTCACAGGAGAAACAGTTGTATAATACCTGCAGTTTTGGATGGTGGTAGTGGCTTCTTTGGCTTCTGTAGAGAAACAGAGACAGTGCTGTATTTTAGAGTGATAATTTTTTCTCTTTTCACTATAAGTAATGCTTGTACTACTTACTGAGGAATAAAATAAAAGCTTTAAACAGCCCATATTTAAACATGTGCAGGTGATGATTAAGTTAGGGTTAGGGAGGCATGCTTCAATCCCATGTTTTAAATATTTGATGATAACATATTAATTATATATATATATATATATTTTTTTTTTTTTGCACAGTATATATACACACATACACACTCACACAAATACAGTATGGTGCAAAAGTCTTAGACACCCTATTTTTTTTTTAGTACAAACTTTGTTATAGATTTTTAGTTTATGACTTCTCCATTATTGATTCAGTAGAAAAACATTTTACATTTCCAAACATTAGTTTTCCAGCACAAAATAAAATGTTACACAAACAATGTTTGTAAGTCAGTAAAAAAAAAAAAAAAGCAGAATATTACATAAGGGACACTTTTCAGACAAAAAACATAATGAAGGCTGTTGGGTTTCGCTGCAGAAATAAGAAGCGAGTGCGACAGTCAAAGTCTCCAGAAGAGCTGTGGCTGCTTCTGCAAGATGCTCAGTAACACTTACAGCTCGTTTCCCTATAAAACTGCACTAATCCTATGTATATGTATGCATATACAATCAGGTCCTGAAGTATTTGGACAATGGCAGGGTTTTTTGTGATTTTGCCTTTATACGCCACCACAATAGATTTGAAATAAAACAATAAAGATGCGATGGAAGTGTAGACTTTCAGCTTTATTTTAAGAGGTTCCAAAAATATGGCATTTACCGTTTAGGAATTCCAGCCATTTTCAGCAAAGTACCTCCATTTTCAGGGGCTCAAAGGTATTTGGACAATTAACTGACAAGAAATTAATTGACCAGGTGCGGTCCATTCCCTCATTACTTCAAGACAAATATAGCTACCAATATGAAGTCCAAGGAGATCTCAACGCAAGTGAAGGAGGCCATCATTAGGCTGAAAAAACAACATAGATCTATAAGAGAGATAGCAAAAACCATAGGTGTGGCCAAATCAACAGTTGGGTACATTCTTAAAAAGAAAGAAAGCACT